TATATTATATATATATATATAATTTTTTATGCTTTGTTTAGATTTTTAATTGAATTTATTACTTGTTTTTCTTTCCTCCTCGTCATTTTTATTTAAAAACTGTTAGATCCTAAATATTAAATGTGCCCTTTTTTATTTCTAGCTGTCAATAGCACGGCGATGTATCGCTTCTTTAAATATATTGAGAATCGAGATGTTGCCAAGCAAGTGATGAAGGAGCGCGGTCTCAAAAAAATTCGTTTAGGTATCGAAGGTTATCCGACTTACAAAGAAAAAGTAAAGAAACGTGCCGGTGGTCGTGCTGAAGTCATCTATAATTATGTTCAACGACCTTTCATCCATATGTCTTGGGAAAAGGAAGAGGCCAAGAGTCGCCATGTTGACTTCCAATGCGTTAAATCTAAGTCAGTGACAAATCTCGCTGAAGCCACAGCCGATCCTGTTCTGGATGCTGCTGGAAATCCTATGCTTCTTCAGGTTGCTGAAGGAGCAGTTTCCCAGCCGGAAATAGTTGGACTTCCTATGGGTTCGGATGTTGATGTGGATGGACCGATGGGATCTGGAGATCAAGATTTAGGCCCATTACCATCTGACGATCTACCATAAAAGATGGGAATAGAGTAGAGTGGAATTTAGAAATCTCGAAAAAATTTGGAAACAAACTTTAAGAAAATATTTATAATTTTTTAAAAATTCTTAAGAAAAATCTTATAATCTTTCTATCGTGAAGGATGAGAATTGAAAACCGGAGTGTACTAAATTCTTAAAAGACTGAGATGTATTTTGACTTGAATCGCTAAAAATTGAACCTTGAAGGCTGTAGAATACATTGGATTTTAATGATTATTGAGAACGGAAAATAAACGAATAATTCTCCAAGATGCATATCCTGAAGATTTTAAAGTTTAGAAAAAGGAATGGTTCGATTATTTATAAGGTAATTTCTCCGTCCTTATGATACTCATTTCTTGTATAGAGAAAAATTTATTTACATCAAAAGACTTACTTAAAATGAATAATTTTAATTATATTATAATTTTGATTATATTGATGGATAAGAACTTATTTATTGTACTATTAAATACATGGCTTTTTTTTTTTTTAGATTTTTGGTATCGCACAATATGTATGGCTAAAGGATGTATATCAAAAGTCTTATCAAGACGCTATGCACTCCAGTCTTTATGATTTAATGTTTCGTCTTTTTTTTTTTTTCAATTTTTTGTTCCGGGTTTATATGATTCTGTCTAAAAAATATTTATTGAAATCAATGGACATAAGAAAAGATATTTTTAATTAGTGATAATGATATGAATGTCGTTTTTCGCTTTGTATGATCCTTCAAGATCTATATGATTCTGTTTAAGCAAAAAGACTCATATTAAGACTAAACATAAACTTCTTCGTCTAATATCTCTTGTCATATATAACTTTTGCAATGTGTATATATAAGCGTTTATTACATATATATAGATTTACGACATACTGTGTGAATATAATTGCGATCGATGTATTATTATAATAACATCTACCATCGTTCTTTCCCGTTTTATACCATTATGATAAATAAAGTTGAATACGCGATTTCTCAATAAATAAGTTTTATTCTTTTTACAACTCCTTAAAATTTATTTTTTTTTATTATAATTTTATTAACTAGCCTTGTATTATAAAATATTTTCTTTAATAAGGAGATGAAACTTATGGGGATGGATACAAGTTTATAATTAAGCAATATCGGCCATGTATTTACATAATTCGTTTTATTTACTTTTAGATACTTGATCTACCTTTAAGCTTGTTAAACTTTCTAAATAAAATTTCTCTTTTTTTGAGCGTGAACTTTATGGATTGCTTTTTATAATTTTGTTTTCAATTCTTATTTTTAATCTGACAACATCTATTTATCCAAGAAAAACTTGAGAACAATTGTGGATAAAAGAGAAAATACTGTAAACATACTGTATACACATAGACTAATAGGCAACATTCTAGATGGAGCTCTATCATTCCCTATTCATACAAATAGAATATATCTTTATCATTTGTCTTTTTGTAAGATATATTTTATTTAATAGAATCAATGTATAATACGTTAAATCTCTAATTATAACTAATTATGATTAACATCATCATGAAAACTTCTAATGAACCCTCTCCCCTTATCTGCCCCTCTCATCTCTCTTTCGAGGCTTAGTAGGTCGTCAGAGAGGAAGTCGTTCGCCGACCCGGGGGAGGCGCAAGCGCTATTAGGGGGTGGGGATTGAGCGATCAATAAGCGACGTACTACCCCCGGCGGTAGCCTCAGGAGGGCAGGAGATCAGTAGCGTACGGACACGCGAGAGGTGCACAACGAGGGTGCGTGCGTGGGGTGTGTGCGCATAGAGGGTGAGTCGCGAGTGAGCGAGGGCAAGTGAGAGCAAAACTGTCCCTCCTCCTCCTCTACCCCCCGGCGCTGCGGGAAAAACTCGCCTCAGCATGCAACCACCGCCGAGAAAAGTAAGAGGAAGTCATTGCGTACTCTCTCGAGAACTCGCCCCCGAGTAACGGGTTGTGACCCCCGCATTCCGTATTTTGTAGAGTCGATTTTCCATGTTTAGATAAGAGACGTTCTTTACGCAAGCGAAACACAAGAGTCATCTTATATACACAAGAAAATCGACCTTATATCGAATATCAAACATAATCGTTTTTCTATGTTGAAGTTAGAAACATAGAAGAAAAATGAACCTGAAGGATTCTTCATATCTTTTATTTTTTATATAAAATGATAATATCACAATTTTTAGTGCAACTCGATATTTTTATGCGAATTAATATATAACTAAAGGCACAAAAAGATGATATCACAATGAAATATGTTTTAAATCATAAGATCCATATTTCTTTCGTACCTTCCGCGAAAAGTCGAAAGATTTTAAAAAATTATTATTGCAATCATTTTATTAATCTCTAAATATTAAATATTAATAGTGATAATAATAATTTTATATGTTAATCTCAGAATAAGACGTATCAATAAAAATATAATAATATTACTATAATATGGTAATAGAATACGAGAAAGCGAGAAAAATCTATTATAATTATAACGTCAAAATTAAAATTCTGAAAAAATATGCCTTATGGTCTTAATTGATACGAAGAAGAAAGCTTTTCAGAATAGAAAAGAAAGAAGAATAGAATAAAAGAAAGAGGAGAAAGAGTTAATAAAATAAAAAAATAAAAGGCGAAAAAGTGCACGTTCAATGTAATAACATCCCTGTTAACACCCCTCATGTGGAAATTTCGCGAGCGATCTAATTTCGGTATTATTTCATGTGTTAGATGGGGAGACAAATTATACGCGCAGAATTTACAAAATCATACAAAATCATATTATATAATCATTTACAAAATCATATAAAAACTTTCGAGAAATAGCGGAATGATAGAATAATTTTAAGGAAATATGTTTATCGATTTTGGAAACAAAATTTGTGGTGTGCGTTTCCGAGTGAAAATACGTTTCTCTGTTAAATGCATGTACGTATGTATGCATGTGTATGCGTGCGTGTGTGCGTGTCGCGTACATGTGTATATGTGTGTAACTAATATAAATGTTTATTATGAAATATAAATTATTAAGAACAATTGTTGCAAATGCTACAATGTTTACAGCTTTAATTATTTATATTTATATTAAAAATTGTACATTTATGGATTATTATCATTTCAAATAATAATTATAAATATTTATAAAATATCTTAAATTATATATTTTGAAAAATATAATTTTTTTATTTTTAATATTCTACAGTAAATCAATTATCCGATAAAATGTTGTTTATATATAATTTTAATGATACGTCGCAATTTACTCTTTTTGTCCGTTGGGCGTTGTTCACAGTCGTTTCTTTGAAAATAAGGACTTACTTATACACCTATACATGCACATGGATAAATAAAAAATTCTTGTTCACCGAGAAACAACTATAAATACTGTTCGTATGTGATATTAAAGTGCGCTGTTTTATATCATTGATTATCATTGATTTTCAATTTGCATTTTGAATGAGAGGGAATGTGAGAAAGAAAAATGTAGAGACAAGTTGGATTAATTATTAAAAATAAAAAATACACGTAATTAAAACATGAGATAATAAAGTGCTTGATTTATTATTTATTTAATTTGTTTTTTCTTTGTTTGTGATTACAAGGGAAACTACGCAAAGTTTCTGAAGAATGTGCACGCGGAGCAGGCGGCAAAATTGCAAGCGAAAAATCAACACGAGTGCGATCTTTTGGAGGACATACGGTGAGGGTGAACAACTTTAATTATCATTTCAAGATTATTATAATAGAAATTTTTTAAATAATTTCAAATAAGCGATAATCTTTATTTTTTTCAGTAATTTCACGATAAAAAAGTCTGCCATTGAAAAATCCTATTCTGAGGTAAAGAATCCATGTTTTTAATGTATATGCGTATTTATTTTTAAAAGTAATTAATATTTATGATATCTTTTACTATTATTTATATATTTTAATATTTTATAATTGCGATACTCTGATTTATCGTTTTCCAGGCGTTACTTAAAATATCGTCCGCATATTTAAATAAGAAGATACCGAACATACCAGATCTCAAAATCGATGGAGCAGAAGAAAAATGGTAATTGAGTGACATATACGGTTGCGGAAAATCTTGATCTTACGCCAAGAATTATCTTTACGCATATATAATATAATATCCGCATTTGACTATTTATCAATTTTCAATAATTAATTGATCTGATCCATATGTACAATTCTTACAATTTTCTTATGCACTGTAACGAGAGAAGGAGGTAAAAAAAATCGATGTGACTCAATAAAAGTAAGAATTATTTTCGCGTAGTATAAGCACGGGAATTTGACCTCTACGGAATTGTACCAGTTTCAATTCTTGGCTTATCGATCGGGGAAGTTTGCCAAGGAGAAGAAGGGTCATAGGTAAATGGCAATCCGCGCTGGCGGACGGTCGAATGATTGTAGGAACATGTGGAACGTGTGGCGGACTGTGCTGGAGGAAAACGAGAAGCTGGCGCGCGCACGCCTCGCCGCTGTCGAGGTCTTCCAGCAGCAGATCGCCGATGACGCTAAGAGTCTCAAGATGCGGAAATTACAAATCTCGAAGAAGGTATCTGAATATAAGATTTTTGTCAAATAAATATTAATAATACATTTCATATGCATTCATTTTTATATGCATAAATTTTCATAAAAACCAATCGGATTTCTAGGCAATCGACCAATTACTGATAGTACAAAAAGAGCTCCAAACTTGCGTACAGGATGTCGACAAAACGAAAAATTGTACTTTGACGAGGAACACAGTGCACACGATGTGCGCGATAAAGCAAAGGACATTGAAGAAAAGTACGTATATATCAAGTTTCGATTATTTGATGTTTCAAAATTAAGCCATCTCTCTTTTAATCATAAGAGTATTTTTTTAAAAAACAAAAGTGTTTTTCTTAATAGAATTCATAAAATAAAAACTTTAATTAGTTTTATTTATTCATTCCTCACGTTTTCTAACTTTTCCAGTCCTAATAATTTTTCTAATTCTTTGACAATTTATTCTTTTGATCTCATTATCATAAACTAACTACATAAGCCAACCATATAATCACGACTATAATAATTCATATCCAATCGATGCTTTCAGATTGAAGAAGAAGAAGGGTTCCTTCTTCCAATCGATAACGTCTTTGCAGAAAAATAGCGCCAAGGTATATGATCTTACGTTAAAATGGAATAATTATTGCTGACATTTTAAGCCATAATTCGCATAAGATTTTTTAAAACTTTATAATTTTTGAGGACTTTATTATGTAGATATAATAATTTTTTTCAAGCAAAGATAACAAATACTTTTGAGATACTTTAAATATTTGGATATAAAAAGAAAATAAAAATAAATTTTGATTAATTTTATTTGCGATTGTCAGGTGAGCTCGAAGAGAGATGCTTTAGAGGAGAAATCAACTGGTGCTCGTAATGATTATCTATTGAGCCTCGCCGCCGCCAATGCCCATCAGAATCGATATTTTGTAGTCGATTTACAGACCACTATGCAGGTAAATCACATCAAGTCACGGTAATGAGATTTGCAAATTGACAAAATGGCAGCAAGATCAAAAAGGTTTCAAAAACATGTTTAAATGTTTTCTTTCTTTATTTCTAATGTAAATTATCTTCTGTTCCGTCTTCATGTTTCTTATATTAAACCTAGATTACTTTCACTTACCGCATTTCTCTATGTCACTAGTATTTGGAACAAGAAGTTTACGACAAAGTAGCAGAATATTTAACGTTGATGGGACGTACAGAACTACTCACTTGTCTAGCCACACAAAACAGCTTCGGCAAAATCCGTGATCAAGCTCAGCAGGTATATTTAAGATCATATCACTAATTTGTAAATAAAAATACATAAATATATTATATATTTAATATTAATTAATATATTATATAAAATTAGATATTATATTATTATATTAGATATATATTACTAAAGTAATAAACAAGTATAATATATTATTATATATATAATATTATTATTCATTTTTATATTTCTTACTTATTTTGAGCTTTGCATTTTTTAATCCTCTTCTCAAATTAATATTTAAAATTTTTATTTTAAGTAATAATATTAAATTACAGCTCACTAGGGAATACAATATTCAATGCTGCTATTTATACTATCCCGTTTTGAAGCAACATATTCAATACGAGTTTGAACCTTGCGATAATGATCCAATAGATAGGTTTGTAGATTATCTCTTTTTATATGTTATAAAACATTTTATATATATATATCTTGCACGTGAAATTCTGATATAGATAATTTTCTATTACATAATAAATTACATTGATATAATAACAAAATGAAAACTATAACTAATCGATATTAAATAAGCGTTTTTAAAAATTTTAAACCTACATTTTAATAGCATAATAGCATAAGATGAAATTTTTAACGAATTTAGGATAACTGCCGATCATTCGGCAGCAACGATGTTGGGCAAAGAAGCACGTCGCTGGTCGACAAAAATTGCCCGCGAGGTCAGTAGCATCCGCGAAAATAATCGAAAGCTTCAAATGCTGCAGCAACTTAAAGAGGCTGGTCAGAAGGTTCGTAATACTGGATGTTCTAAAAAAGAGATATCACGTGCATCAGTAATGTAAATATAATA